CATTCTTCCTCTTTATCAGATATATCGGTAAAAAAATCAAATATATGCCCCCTTTGAACTTGTAATTACATGTAGCATGGTCCATGCTCTGAAAACCAGCACATGTATATTCCGAAACCGCCACGTAGTAAAAAAACGTAGAATTATTACTCCTGTGGACTTGAAATAAACATCCGTTTGATTTTGACTATATTCCGTAACCGCCTTGTCGTCAGAAATAACAATAAAAACTAGAATTATTACTCCCGTGAACTTGAAATAAACATCCTTTTGATTTTGACCATATTCCGTAACCGCCTCGTCGTCAGAAATAATAAAAAAAACAGAATTATTACTCCCGTGACCTTGTATTAAAAACATCCGTCTGATTTTGACTATATTCCGAAACTGCCTCGTTGTCAGAATTATCACCAAAAAGTGAATTTCTTTCTCCTTTCCACTTGTGAAAAATCAGTTTGACTATATTCCGGTCCGATGCTCCTTTTTTATCAGGAATGTAAATTAAAAGTAGAAGTTTTGCCTTCTGCAGCAGGTCCAGCTAGGTGTGGCTCAGCTGAGAAGCGCACGGTCAGTGTCGACGATTGATTTAATACTTTTCACGCCAGTTGAACGTCCATGACAAGTATTTAGCAAAAATTGACCAAATTGGTCAGACATTACGTAAGAATTTGGTTGGAGGTGACCAGCGCACGTGGACGAGTTTATTTCATATAACATCTCTAGAGCGTGATATAGGGTCACTTTATTCGGTTTTAGGGGTGTTTTAAGATGAAATGACTGTATTTTTTCTCGGTATGTATGTCAAATAATACACTGTCACCCTCTCGCGATATATGCCATGATCGAACACCTCTCGCTGACGCTCGAGGTGTTATGGCATATATCGCTCGGGTGACAGTGTATTATCTCACACTTAATTGACATTTATGTACTGCCCTTCGACAGTTCAAACTATTTTCTAGTAAAACCTCATAAGGTAAAATATAGTTAATCCGTTTGATCTAATTTCCTTACAGATTCCATAATCAGCGCCAAGTAGGTTACTTATTTTATTCCGTTACTGCCGTGTCCCTGTAAATTGTCGGTCTGAAAGCAACTTTATGCGAAAAGTTATGAGCAGATTTTGATGAAATTCTCGAGATATGTCAGAGGATTAACTTAAGGGTGATAAGATGTGGGTGGTGATCCATTAATAAATCTGTGATAAAATGAAAAAGTTAGTGAAATCGCCCATGCCATCATTTGAGACATAAACAGAAAACAAAACTACAAATAAATTAACACAGATTCCATTTATACAAGCAACCATTGGTATATCCCTCTTTTATTCCACATATTTCAGAAACCTCATTTCTGCCTTAGCAATTTTCTTAAAAAATATAAGACAAAATCTACTCACTTTACATGATGTATGATGTCGGGAGCGCACGTAGATCAAGAGACGCTCCCGATGACCTAATTACGTAAATAGACTTCATTAACTTGGGCGCTGATTGGACACTCGTCCTGCAGCAGAAAATCCACCTAAGATCGTCATGATAAAGAAAACTGGTATAAAAGATCGTTCTTGTTACAAATCGAGGTCAGTTGTTTAATAAAGCAGCGTTACGTTGATTTATCCTTGTGGTTGACTTGGTTTCTGGCTCACACACTTACGTGAAGTTTTAGACATACGAATCAGGGCCCGGTTGCACCAACAGAGCGTAAATTTACTCGGCTACGACTGTCGTAAACCGCAACGCCTGGCGTCCGTGCGCCAGGTTTACTCTCCCTGCTTACGCCCGTTGCACCAAGACAAAAACTGATTGTCGTAACTACGCCCGAGTAACGCTCCGTTGCGCCACTGGCCAACAATACGTGGATGGTATAATTGGGCAAATGAGGAGTT